GGCAGGGAGCGGGTGAGCTGCTGGGCAGCCAGGTGGGAGGATGAGTGTGGAGGGCACGGACCTTGGCGTTTCTTTGCCTCCCAAACCACCCAGCCTCGGGCATTGCCTTCAGGAGGGAGGGCAGAGGCCTGCCAGCGCCTGCCTGGGGCTTTGGGGTTGGTTTTTTTTGTTGTTTTGTTGGTTTTTTTTAACTTGAGAAGCTGTGCACGGACTCTGGCTCTGTGTCGTGTGTTCGTCTGTGTCTGCAAAACACATGCAGAAGACACTCCTAAGCTGTTGCAAAGACATTGCAGAGTTACAGCCCCGATGGACAAAAAAACTGACTCTTGTTTACATTTGTCTTGTCTGATTTGCAAGATTTGGGGAGGGTGGGGGGAGTGGGAAGGTTTTTTAAAATAAGAAAATGATAGGCACTTTATGTAGGTATTGTTTGTCATTGACATGAACAAAAAATCTTCAAGTGTTTCTACCGTGGGTGAAACTTGATGTTTTATTTTTTCTACAAATTAATAAAATCTTTTTAAAATGACACCTGTGGGTTTGCCTCCGCTTCCTCGCCCCGCCGAAAAACCAAATCCTGTAAAACCGAGACCTGAGCCCAGCTCTGAGGTGCTAAAAACAGCCTCTCCACTCAATCCCTTTATTACCCCATTTTCTCCGACTCCCAGTGCAAAGGTTTCCGTCTCTGCAAGCAGCCGATTTCTTGCCACACAGGGTAACGAGGGGCTGCGCAGAGAGTTAGTTACTCAAACGGGTCACCGCGCCAGGACTCTTTCCTCACTTCACTAACGCCGAGTGACGATCCTGCCAGCACCACGACACGCCGGGCATTGGCATGTCATTCACCGTAGAAACCAAGCAAGCTGACATCACTTCATTATAAAGAGCTGATTGTGTTTCATGCTTTTTCCCTGATTAACTAAGCACACTTTAATGATGTCAACAGAGGGTGATTCATTTGTGCCCCGTCCGGGATATTGTTTTTATTTTGCAATATGAGTAAAGGAAGTACTTTGCTCGAAAGGTCACCTTTGCATCTGATGGTTTTTAATCTCTGCCTAACAACAAGTCACAGTAACCATTGCTAGAAGTGAAAGGGAAAGGGGAAAGCTCTTCAAAGAACAGCTCTCCCTGCTCCAGCTTCTGTTTCAGTTCATTTTCAGCCCCCATTCCCCCTCCAAGTGGCAGAACAAATCGAAGTTTAATATATATTAATGGCAAAAAATTCTATCAAAACCACAAAACTAAGGAGGGTGAGTGGGACTGCAAACCAAACCGCTTCAGTTTCGTTTGAAACTTGGATTCAAGTTGACAGAGTTAACTTGTTCCTGTGCGAAGTGCCAGACATTTCTTTGGAAACACGTTGTTTCTGCCAGCTCCGCATATGCCCTGATTTCACAGGAACAGCAAACTGGCAAAAAAAGGTAAATGACCGTCCAGGCATGAGACACAAGAATTTATTGAGCTGGGACAGGCAACGGCTGGCAGAAAGGTAATTTCAGTAATAAAAAGAGTGTACATTGTGCTTTGTTTATCTTGGTGTTCTGCTTTACTCGAAGTTTACACACGGGCACCTTCCCAAAGAAAGTACTAGTAAAGTATTCCAGTGGGGACAGAGTAATCTCTAGGCTACAGGTGTGTCATAACCATCTCAGCTCCCAGCGAGCAGAATTAACTTGCCTTTTGTTTAGGAAAGGAAACCCCAAACAGACCTCGCTTCTCATCTTCTCGAGGCACGAGTGCTACCTGCCTTCCGATGTTGGCTCTTAACAGACGCCCTATTTCACCAGCTGGTTTTTCACCTCTTCCACTCCCGACCTGCACCATCTTTCAGCGTCATTCAGAGAACCACGAGATTCAGGGTCCCGTCACATCTTTGTTAGTCGGCGAGATGCGGTGCTGCTTACCTGGTTGTCGTTTGCCACCGTAAGAGCTAACAGCAGGAGGACAGAGGGCAGGGAGCCCCGAGACACGTCTGAATGCCGTACAGCATTTGAGAGCGTTCCATCAGCCGCTGGCAAACGTTCAAGCCGCACAAATGCTTGTGTTTGTGGGAAGCCCCTGGAGCACTTCAGATGTTGGAACTGACCCGTCCTGTTGAGCCTGACTTCTGTCACGGATGGAGTAACTAAAAGCTCTTATCATATATGCCCTTTGTTTTGATTCTGCTTGCCCTTCCTCCATTTCAAAAGCAAGATGCCTAACGTACCGCCTACAAGCTGCACTCACCCAAGGAGACTTACGCACCCAAAGCCTACCAAAAATCCCCTCCCCTGACAGTCCCTGCTTTGCTCTCCCAAGACACCCTGCTTCCAAAAATGTGATGTGAAGACACGGGAGCTGGGCCCAGGCTACGCACGTCCTCTGTGCTGCCCAGGGCCTGCCCCTGCTCAGCCCACATCCACTCAGTGAATACACAAAGAGGGGCAGTTTGGAATTTCTAAATCTTTACTCGACACAACCATCAACTTGTTTAAAAAGAGAGAAATACAAAAGTAATTGAAAGCAATCATTCCTCTTTTGACACACACAGAATGGAAGGTGCCCCAGAGACCCCTTCCAGGAGCAGGGCCAAACAGCTCACGCTTCCTTTTGATGTCTGGCCACTTGTGACAGTTCAGCAGTGAAAAAAATTGCAGAAAATACCCTCTTTTTCTTGTTGAAGTTAACCAGCAGGTATTTTGACCCTTAGCGAGGAGAAAACATAATGTCTCCTGCTTGCTTGAATGTAAAAAAAAAAAAAAACCACCACCACCCCACCCCAAGAGAAAACAGAAGAGATGCATACACAAATGCACAGTCCTACAGCAGATCAAAGTGAACGTACCGCTGTAATCATCATATGTGAAGCACGCAGTGTTCTGGTTCAGTGTCACATGCCTGTGATCCACACAGACACAACTTCAGAGCAATGCGACCAAAAAAGCATGAAGGAAAGAAAAAGTAAAATTCCGCCACCTTTTTCTCTTCCGTTTAGCCAGGACAGGAGGTATCTCAGACCTGGAGAGCAGATCTGCACCCTTCCTACTCCTTGGGAATTTCAAACATGCAAAGGCTCTTGTACTTCTGCAGCAGTTCATTTTTGGTCCGGACCTGCTCCCGCAGGTTCTGCAGCTGCTGCTGCTGCTGCTCTGGGCTCACACCGATGCCGGGCATGGAGCTGATCAGCTTCCTCATCTCCTGGAACTTGTTCTTGAGCTCGTTCAGCACCTGGTGAACATCCTGGCTGTCCTTGTCCATGCTGCAGAGAGAAAATGGAGACATTGTTGAATTCTCCTCTTGGAAACGCTCCTTCAGCCCACAGGGTGTGACTGTCATTTCCAGCACAACCAGAGCTTAAACTGGAATTCACTGGAAAATTTTTACTCTTGGTATCTGGCTACACACACCTAATTCACCTATCCCAATAAAATGGACACAGACACACAGACAGACAGACTGGGTAGCCTCTGGGGCAAACTGGTTTCCTGCTAATTTCCAGCACACAACCCAGTCACCTCACAACCTATCAATTGGGTTAGGAGCCGGTTTGCCCACGGAGCAGGCTAAATTCTCCCCCTGCTTGAACTCCCGTAGCTCTCTTTGGGGAAGGTAACATTACATATGTGTGTTCTGTGTAGGCACCTAGAGAAAAAGATCTCGGTCTCACCCGTGACCTGTTGCGGCTATAACACAAAAAATCAATGCAGACAAACAGCTTGACAGCGGAAAACAGAAACTGTTCCCCAAAGTATCAGAGAGTATCCAACAGCAGAGCAAACGGTACTTTGGAGCTTTAAAATTACTCTCTGGGGATGTATAACTAATAAAAGAGAAGCGACAGCTTCTTTTTTTTTTTTTTTAAAGCAGCACAATTGGTTCTGCAGCCAGCTCTGTGCTTTTCAGTGTTGTCTGAGGCAGCGTCTGCCCTCAAACCCTCATTAGTATCTGCCTCGGCTTTGTTAGCACCAGCGAGAAGTTTTACCAATTCCAGGCAAAAGTGAGTCCCCGCTTCCAGGGCGCCCATTAATAACGAGAGTGGGATTCTAATGGTCTTTGAAAACTGGGAGCCTGTTCAATAGCCAGACCTAAAAATAAATCCACTTGGCATGATCAGGGCAGAGAAGTGCTCGATTATAACTTTGGGGAATCGTGACATGGCTGAGAGCAAAACTTTTAACCAGATGGTTGCCGATCATTTCAAAAGCCTGTTGGAACAAAATATTCATTACTCCTTTCTAAATAAAACCGCAGCTGGTACTATAATGTATCCCCATTATGCAGGCATTCACGGTCAGGTTGGCAGTGGAAAAATACAGGCGCACACACAACCCCATGGCACCTCTGGGGAAGGATGGGTTGACACTGCCTTTAATCCACCGTATCTGCAGGCTGGCTTTGAGAGGGATGTCCTCCCCGCTCCAGGTCCCCCCAAGTCTCGTTCCCTTCCCCACAATTAGAGAACTGATGGCTGCCTGTCCAGCTGGTTGCTCCAAAGGAATAATTATTTCAGGTTTGGGTTTTGGGTTTTTTTTCTGTGGGGGGTTTTCCTGCTGGATTAAGCCACTGAAGTCACTCCCTCTTTGAGGGCATGGACAGGCGGTGTGGGAAGAGGCTGCACCTGCCTGCAATAACACAGGATTCAATGCAACATCCAGCCACAACCT